CCTATACTGTATGTCAGTGATCAAAACTTATACCAGATTATAAGATTAATAATAATAAAAGGCTAATATGCAAAGTGACTGAACAGCAGAACAACCAGTCGCTATGACATGCACTGGCCACCAGGGGGCAGACGCTCAACGCAGGAGCTGCCCCCTGGTGGTCAGTGCACTTCCACAGGGGGAGCGCTGCTCAGCCAGAAGCCAGGCTCACTGCTGGTGAGTGCAGTGGCGGTGGCGGCAGCGCTAAGAATGTCTGACTGACAGCTTAGGCTCGCTCCCTGAGGGCTCCCGGACTACCAGAGGGCACAGGCTGGGCTGAGGGACCCCCCACCCCCCCTGCATGAATTTCGTGCACGGGGCCTCTAGTAAGATTAATAAGCATGCCCATGCCACCATTTCAAGGTACTTAATGGTTTAATGATAATTTATTACTGAATTAATATCCTCATCTGCATTTACAAAATGTACTTATTTCACTCACTGGTGGCTCTAGTATTGATTGAGTTATTATAATAGGATTTCAAAGTACCTGATCAGAAAATCATTGTGTTAGTGCAGATATGAACATGGAACATATTACTTTTGACCAGAGGTCTTTGTGGAAAGCCCCAAAATACTTTGGAGGCGACATATCAACAGTACTTACAGTCTGTACAGTGAAATAGGTGTGTTGGAGGCAGAAGACAAACTTTGAACTCTGTACATATGAGCTTAATTTAAAATCTTACACGCTAATTGTTAGAGTTAGAATGGACTTTAGAATTTGCCTGTAGAAACTCTGGTCACAGGGAGCTCAGCTCAGTGGCAGAAGTAGTATGGTACCCAGCACCTCCTATAAGTCTTGTAACCATTTGCCACTACTGTTTTATTTCAATCCACTTCCTTTTTCTAATGTCTATAGTCATAAAATAGTTATAAGATGCCTTTTAGTTTTAACACTCTGATCTTTATAACTAACATTTAGAAGATGAGAGCATATATTAGCAAACATGTTTAAAACATGTTCTTTGTACCACACACTTTAACTGCTTTAGATACATAAATTTAGTGAATTCTCACAACAATCCCATAAGGTATACTTTATGTTTAATTCCACTTTAGAGATGAGGAAATTGAAGCAGAAAGAGATTAGGTAAATTGCTCAAGGACATAAGGTTAGTATGTGTCAGAATTGGTACTTGAACCCAGACACGGTCATCAGAGTCCATGCCCTTGACCACTGTACTGTACTGCCTTTGTATTAAGTCAAAACCACCTAAATAGGATCAAACTAGTCCAAAAACTGGTGAGGGAAAACCTATATTTCTCTTGCTCTCCAGTCTCACAGACTGCAATTAATTGATTCCTTTTGGTTCATTTAGGCTGAGAAATCTGAGCTCATTTGGTTACATCTAGAAGCCAGTGAGGAAATAAACAACCAAGTAGAAAACCCAGTCATTAAGTCAAGTCATGCACCATAGTGATAGGGCTTTTATGCTATCCAGCTGATAGTCCCCTTGTCTCCGTATTTTGTTTAAATAATAACTTTCTAAACAGTTCAAAGGTAAAAGGGTGTTAAACCCAATTTGGCCTTCTATCCTCCTATTTTCTTCATTTAAAAAAATTATATTAATGGAACAGGTGCAGAGAGAAGGCTAGGTCTTTTTTTTTCCCCCATGAGAAGGCCAGGTCTTGTGACTACTGCAAAGTCAACACTGGTTTCCTACCTTCTGAAAAATCAGACCCTTTTATTAGAATAATAGCATTGCAATTGGATTTCTGTTTAAGGAACAAAGTTGCTAAAAGCAAAAGTAGGGCTTGCGATCCTCAGTCGATTAACAACAGTTTAAATGTGATGGGTTACTCGCAGCTATAGAATCTTGTTTTGATAAAATTATTAACTGCTTTTCAAAGTAGATTACTGGGGCATGGACTTTCTGGACTTTGTGAATCCCATAGCATGTGATTTCCACATAATAGGTGCTAGTATGGGTTTACTATTATAATTGTTCTCTCAAACTTTCCCAGAGTTAATGCCTGTTTTTACACAGCAGTGCATCCCTATCTCTTGGCATTTTAAGGACGTGAGAGTTACAAATTTGAGTAGCCCAGAGGCAACCATGGTACATTACATAATGGAATTCAGATTATTTTTGGTCACTTCATTCCGTTATACTTGGTCAACCTCATCCACATTGGACTTGATGAAAGTTGTCAGTAAACAGATCATTTGGGGAGCCATTGACCATTCTGATCAGGTTGTGATACTTTGTTTTTTAAATTTATGTACCATAAAATTCTCCCTTTGGTACCATAGCACTCTGGTTACTTCTCAATTCCACCACCCCAAAAATTTCCCTCATGCTGCTCCTTTGTAGATAAACCTTCTCCCACCCAAACCCCTGGCAACAACTGATCTGTTCTCCATCCATATAGCTTTGCCTTTTCCAGAGTGTCAGTATTACCTGTTTCTTCAGAGGAAATAAACCAAATAATAATTTTTTTGAATCTTTCTCATAGGTAACATATATGCACATAGTACAGAATTTAGGGTATACCATGAAAAGTAAGTCTTCTCCCACTTTGGTCCCATAGGCCGCCCAGATACTACCATTCCTCCACCTCCCCAAGCAACCACTTTTGTCCGTTCTTATGTATCTTTCCAGGAATAATTTATGAATTTACAATTGTGTGTCTGTATGTTTTAGTAAATGGTAGCAAATTATTCTCACTATTCTATACCTTGCATTCTCATTGAACAATGTTTATTGGAGATAATTTCATGAGTGTCCTCTCATTTGTTTTTTAAGTTTTTACTATTATAGTATTTTGTTTTTTAATTGATTTCAGAGAGGAAGGGAGAGGGAGAGAGAGATTGAAACATCAATGATGAGAGAGAATCATTGATCGGTTGCCTCTTGCATATCCCCTACTGGGGATTGAGCCCGCAACCTGGGCATGTGCCCCTGACCAGAATCGAACCTGAGACCCTTTAGTCCGCAGGCTGATGCTCCATTCACTGAGCCAAACCGGCTTGGGCTCATTTTTTAAATATATTTTTATTGATTTCAGAGAAGGAAGGAGAGGGAAAGAGAGATAGAAACTTCAATGATGACAGAGAATCATTGATCGCCTTCCTCCTGCATGCCTTCCACTAGGGACCGAGCCCGCAACCCAGGCACCTGCCCTGACTGGGATTCGAACCATGACCTCCTGGTTCATAGATCTACGCTCAACCACTGAGCCAGGCCAGCTGGGCTAGACATTTAGATTTTTATGTAATTGAACATATCAGTAATTTATTTTATGGCTCCTGAGTTTTTGGTTATCTTAAAACTCTGAGGTAACTGTAGATACTCTTGAGAATATTTTTTTCTAATTTTTAAAAAGTGAGGTAATTTTAGATTTATATGCAGTTGCAAGAAATAATGCGGAGAGATCCCTTGTACACTTTGCCCAGTTTTCCCCAATGGTAACATTTTGCAAAACTGTTACGTAATATGACAACCGGATATTGACATTGATACAACCTACCAATTTTACTCAGATTTCCCCAGTTTCAGTTATACACTTTTGTTTGTGTGTGTATGTGCATTATCTCATACAATTTAATCACTCTTCATTTATTCATCACTACAGTCAAGATACTGAGCAATTCCATTACAACAAGGGTCTCTGGTATTGCCCCTTTATTTTTTGTATTATCCTATTGCCCTTTTATAACCATTCCCACTTCCCTCTCACCCCGCCTCTGACAACCTCACTAATCTGTCCTCTTTCTAAAATTTTGTCATTTCAAAAATGTTCTATTTAAATGGAAACATACAATTTGTAGTCTTTTTTGATTGGTTTTTGCTCTGCGTAATTCTCTGGAGGTTTATCCAAGTTGTGTATATAAATAGTAGTTTAGTTCTTTTTTTTTTTAAATATATTTTTATTGATTTCAGAGAGGAAGGGAGAGGGAAAGAGAGTTAGAAGCATCAATGAGGATAGAGAAGCATTGATCAGCTGCCTCCTGCACGCCCCCTTTTGGAGATCAAGCCCACAGCAACCCAGGCATGTGTCCTGACCGGGAATCTAACCATGACCTCCTGGTTCATAGGAAGACATTCAACCACTGAGCCACCCCAGCCTGGCTAGTTTGGTTCTTTTTATTGCTAAGTAATATTCTATGGCATGATGTACCAAAGTTGGTTTAACCATTTGCCTGTTGAGAGACATGTGAGCTGATTTCAGTTTTTGGCTATTACAAATAAAGCTACTAGGAACATTCACATACAAGTTTTTATGTGAACATAAGTTTTCACTTCTCTAGGATAAGTGCCTAGGACTGCAGTTGCTTAGTCGTATGGTAGTTGCATGTTTAGTTTTTTAAAAATAAACTTTATTAAGGTATAATTTGCATACAATAAAATGTAGGCACTGTAAATTTATGGTTCTATGAATTTCGATAAATGTAAGTGTCACCCCACACAAGATATAGAACTTTTATATCACCTTAGAAACTTCCCTCATGCCCCTCTTCGGTCAGTCCCTGCCCTGTCTATCAGTAGAGATTAGTTTTATTAGTAACTAGAGACCCAATGCATGAAATTTATGCAAGAAAAGGCCTTCCTTCCCCCGGCTGCTGGCACTGGCTTCCCTCAGGCACCCGAGACCCGGGCTTCCCTTGCAGGCCCAGCTTCATCCGGAAGGTCATCCGGAAGGTTGTCCGGTCTAATTAGCATATTACATTTTTATTATTATACATAGAATTTCATACAAATGGAATCATGCAGTATTTTTTCTTTTCTTTTTTAAATATATTTTATTGATTTTTTACAGAGAGAAAGGGAGAGGGATAGAGAGTTAGAAACATCGATGAGAGAGAAACATTGATCAGCTACCTCCTGCACACTCCCCACTGGGTATGTGCCCGCAACCAAGGTACATGCCCTTGACCAGAATCGAACCTGGGACCCTTGAGTCCGCAGGCCGACGCTCTATCCACTGAGCCAAACTGGTTAGGGCAGTATTTTTTCTTTTGAGACTGGCATTTTTTCCCACTTAAATATGTTAAGATGCATCCCTGTTGTTTTGTGATTTAGTAATTTTTTTTAAATAAACTATGTCTTAGAAAAGTTTTAGAAAAATTGCAAAAATAGTACCTTATACCTACATCTTCATCATTAGCATCTTACATTAGCATGGTACATTTGTTGTAATTAAGTAAAGTCTATAATTTATTCAAATTTCATTTTACCCCTAATGTCCTGTCTCTATCCCAGGATTCCACCCAGGATACCACATTACATTTAGTCTTCATGTATATTTAGGCTACTCCAAGAGTGCATTCTTAGATTTTTAAGAAACTGCAAAGTATTTTTGTTTTTTGTTTTTATTTTAGAGAGAGAGGAAGGGAGAGTGTGAGAGAAACATTGATCAGTTGCCTTCTATTTGTGCCCCAACCAGGGATCAAACCTGCAACTTCATTTTAGTTTTAACTTGCCTTTCCTTAATGACCAATGATGTTGAACATCTTTTCATGTACTTATTTGTCATCTATATATCCTCTTTGGTGAAATGTCTGGTCATGTCTTTTGTCCATTTTCTAATCAAATTACCTTTTTGTTACACTGTTGAGTTTTGAGAGTTCTTTATACATTCTATTTGGAAATGTTGTTTGTAAATATTTTCTCCCAGTCTGTAGCAGAAAGTACCAAACCCTATACAATGGTATTTCCTATACATACTTTCCTATGCTAAAGTATAATTTATAAATTAGACACAATAAAACATTAAAAACAATAACTAATAAATAGGACAATTATAATAAAAGTTATGTGAATGTGGTCACTCTCTCAAAATATCTTATTGTACTGTACTTATTTTCTTCTTGTGATGGTGTGAGATGAGGTGGGTGATGATACAATGCATACGTGATGAGATGAAGTGAGGTGAATGACATGAAGTGAGATGAATGGCGTAAGCACTGAAATAGCATTAGGCTACTAGAGGATAACTTGAACATAAGCACTGTGATACTATAATAGTTGATCTTATAACCCAGATGACTACCAAGTGAGTAAGTGCAGGTAGCATACACAGTGTGCATATGCTGGACAAGGTGATAATTCACAACCTAGGCACAATTGAGTGGGGCTGCACAAGACTTCATCACACTATGCAGAAGGGCAGGTAATTTAAAAGGTACGAATTGCTTATTTCTGGAACTTTCCACTTAATATTTTCAGACGGTGGTTGACAGAAACTGGAAAGTGAAACCTTGGATAAGGGGGCGATGGGGGAACTACTGTATTACTATGTTAACAATCTTTTCCTGCACGATTCTTCCAGTGGTAGCATTTATGGGCAAGGGAGAAGTCATGGACTGTCAGTGATACTGATGCTCTGCTGCCCCCCTCAGCCGGCTCTTGGCCAACAAGTTTCTCTTGATCATTTAACCAGTGCAGTTAGTTGCTTTTATTAAGGGTAAGCCAGGGGAAGGTGTCATATCAAAAAGGTGTGTTGGGGAAGAACTCAGCAATAGGGGCAATGGTAGAACAGATGCAAATATTCATTCAGGTTGCTAAGCATTACCAAGTTCTGAAACCATTGCCATGATTTCTGCAAGTTAAAATTCCACAATTTTGGCTAATTATGGTATTCATATCCTGCTAGTTTATTCCTAACAATAGAACATTCATTTTATTGGAAGAGAGTCTATGTTATTATAATCATTAATTAATTTAAAAAGTTGTATATGAAAGAGATGGAGATGTTTTTCTTGGTGCCTAGAAGGTATAAGGAGATGTTTCTCCGCATACAGTTTGCCTGGTTCCTAATTGATGAAGATGTGCCAGGCCGTGGGATGAAATGGTCTGTGGGAAGGGTGGTGCTTGATGTTAGTTGTTCATTTACAGGTAGCTTTTGAAAATGGCTGCCTCTCATTTCACCGGGCTCACAGCTGTTGCTGATGTAATTAAAGATCTAGACACTCAGATAGCTGTAAGTAAGTTCTTTGAAGCCACTGTGAAAGGAACATGGTGAATGTGCTTCTGATCTTGGTGACACAACAGCTGATGTCACAGATTCAACCTCCTGGCTCTAAAATTTAGGAGTCCCAGCTACTCCAGGCTAGGGACTCTGCATGTACTTAAAGATTGCTAACACTCAGAGAAAGTTTGCTCTTGATGACAAAAAAGATTTTCACAATTGCTAAAAATTGTGTTTACTAGGTATAGCTCTGACATAGAGTTAAGCATGTTTTGAAATGCCAAAATGAACTAATCTGTTTTCTGAAGTTTTGTGATTGGGTTTTAAGTATGTGACTGTGCCACTTATTTGAAGTTAACATTATTTGATGCTCAAAAATAATGCATGTAGTACTTAACCATGTATTCTATTTTTACAAAGTCTTCAAAAATGTCTTGCTCATTCTAGTTTATTTTTGCACATAAGATTCCTCGTTTCATATACTTTCTTATTTCAATTTTGTGGACTATTTCATTTAGCTTTTGGAGAAGAGATGGTTTCTAAATATCAGGTGAGAGCAATGAATATTCTTTATTCCCTCCATTTTTAATGTGCAGGTATCAAATAGTCACTATTCCTGATATACTGAAGACCTTTCAATGTCTGGTAGACCTCATATAATTTTACTTTCAAAACTCATCCTTTATTACAGGTTCTCTGGAACTAATCTTTGTGTTTGCTTTCCACAGTTGATTGGTCTTGGTCCTCATACCTCCAGGAAGAAACAGGATCTCGATAAGCTCTATGAGCTGAAGTCCAAAGCTCGGCAGATTATGAACCAGTTTGGCCCCTCAGCCCTCATCAACCTGTCCAATTTCTCATCCATAAAACCGGAACCAGCCAGCACCCCTCCACAAGGCTCCATGGCCAATAGCACTACAGTGGTAAAGATACCAGGCACGCCTGGGTCTGGAGGGCGTCTCAGCCCTGAAAACAATCAGGTATCATCCTCTTACTTTTTGCTCTCTGTAGTCTTTTCTTTTTGAACCAGTAATGCTTTGAGAGATGTCCATCTCAGATGCTGCCTCTTCCTCTCACTGAAAAAGGTCTTTTCCCTCCTTGGACTCCTGAAGTTCTATATTGGCCCAGCCGATGTGGCTAAGTGGTTGAGCATTGATCTATGAACCAGGAGGTCATGGTTCAGTTCCTGGTCAGGGCACATGCCCGCGTTATGGGCTCGATCCCCAGTGTGGGGTGCGCAGGAAGCAGCCGATCAAAGATTCTCTCTCATTATTGATGTTTCTGTCACTTTCTCTCCCTTCCTCTCTGAAATCAATAAAAATATATTTAAATAAAAATAAATAAAATAAAATAAAGGAGGTACCATGAACCAAGCAGGTAGGAAGAAGGGTGGAAGAGCATGTCCAAAGCAGCAGAGGCACTGTACGATTTGTGGTCAGAAAATGGCAAATTATTTACTGTAGAGGGAAAGTGAGGCACAGTGAGAAAAAGAGATGAGACTGAAATAAATTGACAGATATTGGCCTCTCTTCCAAACTGCTCTTTCTGCCTTTCCCTAGGCTACTTCTGTCTTTTTGTTGTCGTTAATCCTCACCTGAGGATATTTTTCCATTGATCTTTTAGAGAGAGTGGAAGAGAGAGGGAAAGACAGAGAGAAACATCGATGTGAGAGAAACACATCAATTGGTTGCCCCCGACCAGGGCCCAGGCTGGGGAGGAGCCTGCAACCAAGATACCTTGACCAGATGGAACCCGGGACCCTTTGGTCTGCGGGCCAGCACTCTATCCACTGAGCCAAACTGGCTAGGGCGGAGGCTACTTCTGTCTGGAGAGTGTAATCTTATAGCAATGTCACCAGATAGGCCAGACTGTTAACTCTTTGGAAAGCAGAAAACTAAAACCAACAAATTTACAACCTTTCTGCATCAGAGCATAATGAGTCCTTTTGTTTGTTTCCTTGATACTTGGCTGAAAAATCTTCTCCTAATTAACTTTAGGTGTTGACCAAGAAGAAATTACAAGACTTAGTAAGAGAAGTGGATCCTAATGAGCAATTGGATGAAGATGTAGAGGAGGTAAGAAGGGGCTGGGTACCACAGAGGGTGTGTCCCTGAGAGCTAGTATATAATATAGTTTCTGTGGTGAAGAGCACAGACTTTAGAAGCAAATCTGAATTTGCATCTTGGCTCTGCCAGTGAACAGCTTTGTAGCTGTGGATAAATTACTTAAGCTTTCTGAGACTCAGCTTCCTCCTGTGTTGGTAAGGTATGACATTATTTATCTACGTGGTTATTATGAGGGTCCCATGGAATAATTATATAAGACACTTTATACTTAACAGCTGCTGCTACTTTTACCTGTCAAAAAGGACATAGTCTGCTTCTTATAGGCAATCACAATAGTTTTAGTTGTTCCTAGATTATTCCCCCATATTTCTAAGTAATATACTTAAACATATACTCTTTGATTCATTAATTTTTTTAAGATTTTAAAAAAATATTTTCAATTAATCTTTTAGAGAGAGAGGAAGGGAGAGGGAGAGAGAGAGAGCCTGCACACCCCCTACTGGGTATCAGGCTCACAACCTGGGCATATGCTCTGACCAGGAATCAAACCAGGGACCCCTCAGTTCACGGGATGATGCTCAACAAACTGAGCCACTCTGGCCAGGCTTAAAAGATTTTTCAATTGATTTTGAGAGAGAAAGAGAGAAAAAAAACATCAATGTGAAAGTGAAACATTGATTGGCTGCCTCCTGCACACCCTCCACCGAGAATCAAGCCTGCAACCCATGCATGTTCCCTGATCAGGACTCAGACTGGCAACCTTTCTTTCATGGTGCATGGGATGATGCCCAATTAACTGAGCCACATCAGCCAGGGCTGATTCATTAATTTTATAATAGTCTATTGACTTCCTGTTGTGGTAGATGATAATTTTAGAGTCTTTTTCCTATTCTGAATTTTTATATGAACTTTAGTATATCTCTTTTTTTTCATTTGTTGTGCTGTTTTTGGAGGCTTCTTTTTTTTTTTTTTAATATTTTATTGATTTTTTACAGAGAGGAAGAGAGAGGGATAGAGAGTTAGAAACATCGATGAGAGAGAAACATCAACCAGCTGCCTCCTGCACATCTCCTACTGGGGGTGTGCCCGCAACCAACATACATGCCCTTGACCGGAATCGAACCCGGGACCTTTCAGTCCGCAGACCGACGCTCTATCCACTGAGCCAAACCGGTTTCGGCTTTGGAGGCTTCTTTTACTCTAGAAACTTCTGTGCCTTAATGCTGGGATGATTTTGTGTATTTTTTTTGATGTTTTTGTTTTGCCTTTGCTGAGTAATATGTAATGATAGAGAAAGAAAATGCAGGTTATAAAAACAGTATAACTCCATTGTTTGTTTTATTTTATTATTTTTAAAATATATTTTATTGATTTTTCTACAGAGAGGAAGGGTGAGGGATAGAGAGTTAGAAACATCAATCAGCTGCTTCCTGCACATTCCCTACTGGTGATGTGCCCGCAACCAAGGTACATGCCCTTGACCAGACTCGAACCTGGGACCCTTGAGTCCGCAGGCTGACGCTCTATCCACTGAGCCAAACCAGTTAGGGCTCCATTGTTTGTTTTAACCAGAGGGAAAATATTTGCCTTTTTTGTATATGTGTGGCTTTTTAGAACAGCAACTTTATTGAGATATAATTCCTGTACCATAAAATTCACCCATTTGAAATATATAGTTCAGTGGGTTTTACTATATTCAGAGTTGTGCAACTGTCAACACAATCAATTTGGGAACATTTTCATCATCCCTAAAAGAAACCCATACCCATTAGCAGTCATTTCCCATTTTTCCCCAACCCCCACAGCCCTAGGCAACCAACTACCAATATATTTTCTATCTTTGTAGATTTGCCTATTCTGGATATTTCAAATATATGGAATCATAATATTTGGTCTTTTGTGACTGCCTTCTTTCACTTAGCATAATGAGTCTAAAGTTCGTCCATGTTGTAGAGGGCATTATTACTTCATTTCTTATTATGGCTGAATAAATATTCCATTATATGGCTATTAGAGGCCCAGTGCACAGATTCATGCACCAGTGGGGTCCCTCGGCCTGGCCTGTGAAGATCGGGGCAAAACCGGCTCTCCAACATCCCCTGAGGGGTCCTGGATTTCGAGAGGGCGGTTCTTGGGTGACACACCCCAGAATTGGGCTCCCTCCTCTTTGGTTCTGGGTGCGTCACCCGAGAACCGCAGCTGCCAAGTCACTGCAGCTTGGCAGCTCTTGCATTGAGCGTCTGCCCCCTGGTGGTCAGTGCTCATCATAGCTACTGGCTGGTCAGCCGGTCACTTAGGCTTTTATATATCTAATCTAATAATAGACAAACATGGTAATTGACCGTACCTTCGCTATGCCTCCTATTGGCTAAACAGTGCGATATGCAAATTAACCGCCAACAAAGATGGCGGCTAATTTGCATACTGCAGGCAGGGCGGGACAGTGCGAGCTGCCATCCGGGCCCCCGTGTGCTGCCTAAGCCCCGCCCCCAGCCGGGACCCCCGTGTTCAGCCCTGAGCGGGCGGGACCCCTGTCTGCGGCCCTGGGCGGAGGGGCTTGGCAGCGTGATCGGCCCCAGGAAGCCCTATTCTTGCAGGAATCCTCCTGCAACGGGCTTCTAGTGTGTGTGTGTGTGTGTATATACCACCTTTTGTTTATCCATTCATCAATTGATGGACATTTGGGTTGTGTCCACTTTTGGGCTATTATGAATAAAGTTTGCCATGAACATTCATGTGCAACCTTTTTTGTTTTTTTCCTCTTTTTAAAAAGTTTCTGTACAAATTTTTGTGTGAACATATGTTTTCAATTCTCTTGGGAATATACCTAGGGGTAGAATTGCTGATTCATATGGTAATTCTGTTCCTTTAAGGACTATCTGACTGTTTTTCCAGAGTGCTTCACCCTTTTACATTCCCATCAACAGTGTATAAGCAGTTCATTTTCTTATATTAGTTTTTGATAATTTCTTCTCTATTTTTGTTTCTTTCTGGGATGATAATTGGTGGGATATTGGATCTTCTGCATTGATCCTCTTAGGTTTTTTGGTCTTTTTACTCCTATTTTTCATTTCTTTGTAATTCTAAGTTCTGCTTGCTGCGGAGATTTTCCTTAGTTTATCTTCTAATACTTTTAACATTTTTAAATATAAAAATTTTAGTTTCCACAAATTGCTTCTCCTTGTTCACTGATTTTTTTATTTTTATTTTCCTAAGCCATTCTGTTCTTATTTTTTGGTTGTAATACCTTCTCTTATCTTTCTCTTTGAGGATATTAATTAATTTTTTGACATTTTCTTCTTTTCCCTGCATTGTCTGTTTCCTCTGGGTTCCTTTTCCCCTCTTTGGTTTGTTTCCTGTACTTTCTTTTTTGTGTTAGAGACTTTCTTCAAATGTCTGCTAATCCTAGCTATCCATTCTTAAATAATGAGCCATTAAAAAGCTGATTTGAATCAGAACTTACTAATAGGCTTTGTCCAGTAATGTGCTGGTAAGTGTTTAACAACCAGCTCTGTGGAGAAAATGACCCTGATTTTCAGCATTTTTGGATTTCTGGGGTGTGACATTCCCACTGTGCCCTATTTTAAGTTATCAACATATTGTTGCTGAATGCAAAATTGGTAAAAATGCAAAAATTGACTTTCATGAGCTCTTCTCAGCTGGCTCTAGGGTACCATTGGCTCCACTTCAGAATAATTGGTCCACAAATCGACCTTTCATTGGGGGCTTCCTAAATATCAATATCTGTAAACCTTTTCTCTGGAGTCGTTTAGTATCTCTAGAGAAAAATGCTCCAGACTTCTATCTGGAGGGTTTATCCCTAGCTTCTAACATTCTGGAAGCAAGACAAGAGAAAGGGGCTGTGTCTCTCCCCTTGCTCTGCTATGTCTGGTGTATTCTAATCCAGAGCCACATCCCTTCATTTTCTTTTTTTTTCTTTTTTTAATATTTTTATTGATTTTTTACAGAGAGGAAGGGAGAGGGATAGAGAGTTAGAAACATCGATGAGAGAGAAACATCGATCAGCTGCCTCCTACACACCTCCTACTGGGGATGTGCCCACAACCAAGGTACATGCCCTTGACCGGAATCGAACCTGGGACCCTTCAGTCCACAGGCCGATGCTCTATCCACTGAGCCAAACCGGTTAGGGCCCTTCATTTTCTATGGGGAATAAAGCTACTGTGTTCTGGGTCAGGTAAGTATGGCTGCTTTTGGAGTGCAAGGGTCATTGACTACTCTGTGTATTGACATTAACAATTCCCCAATTTGTAGTTCCATACCTCAGCCCAGTCTTCTATGATAAATGGTACTTCCAAATCCTGGATCTCTTAGGGATTGTGAAGGGAAAATCAGTTTAATTCTCATTGGTGTCCTCTCTATAGGCACTTGTGTTGTAACATCTGTATGCTAGTTCAGTTCTTCTTCTTCTGTTATCTCTATAGCAAAAATTTACTTTAAAAGTTTATTGGAATTTCTTTTCATTAGGTTTTCTCTCCCATTGAGGATTTATATGTCTTTTTTCTTTACTATTATTTTCATTTATTTAGGGAGGGAGAGGAGGTCATTTTGGCAGTTGACCTGCCATGTTTAATCATAAGTATTTCCTTTAGATGGTATCCATTTGGTTCCATAGGAAAGATGACAATGGATTAATGGTCCAGCAGAACAAGGAATGTCTACATCTATGATAGTAATTTTATTTTAATTTTTGGTCAGCAAAGGAAGCCATGAGAAGGCATTGACTTAAAATTTCAATTTCTTCATATAGATTTTTAGCTTCAGAATTCTGCTTTTGTTCATCACACAGTCCAGGATTAATATAATGAAGTAGAAAGAACCCAGGATTTGGACTCAGAACCTTGAGGTTGAATCCTGGTACCACTGCTTAGTAGTTACATTAGCCATGAGCAAGATAGTCTCCTTGAGTCTTAGCATCCCCTGCTGTCAATCAGGGTAAAATTCATGCCCCATTTTTTTCACAGGATTATTATAAGGACTAGATAAGATAATGGAAATAAAAATGCTTTAAGAGATTGTGAGTGAGGGATAATAATAATTAACTTTTGTTTTCCCACTTAATTCAGAAGATAATATGGGGGTGAGGGATTGGGCTGGTTGATGCCTGCTGGGTAGAAAGTGCAGAAAGCTCATCCTCAGAAAGGTGTGAGTTGCACTCCACCTGGTTAATAAGTTGATGTGTTTCTGTTGCCATCCCCTCTCTTCCTCTCACCTTAGGCCAATGCTGATTATAGGCCCTCTGATAAGGAAGCCTGACTGAATATGTGGTTCAGGCAGATACAGTTGTCCCAGCAACAAGAGCTTAACCTGCCAATGACATGGTTACTCTCTCCCACTTTTCCCCAGATGCTGCTGCAGATTGCTGACGATTTTATCGAGAGTGTAGTGACAGCAGCCTGCCAGCTTGCTCGGCATCGCAAGTCCAGCACCCTGGAGGTGAAGGACGTCCAGCTGCACCTAGGTACGTGGTCTCATTTCTCCCTGAGGTGTCGCCATGATTCCTCCTTCAGAACCATCATGAAAAGTGTGGTCGGAGGAACCTCTGTGCCAGGATCAGACTTTCAGGCTCTGATATTTATGTATTCCCAGGCATTGGGTTTGCCACTACCTACCTGCGTCACCTTATCTTTGTTACTTAATTTCTCTTAGAGTCCATTTCCTCATTTGTAAAGTGGAGATCTAATATCCTCCTTACACGGTAATTGTGAGAATTATGAATTAGGTTTGTAAAATGACAGGCACAGGATCTGGCTCAAGGTAAGAGATTAGTAAATGTAGCTATTATATCTCCACCATTCAAAAAAAGGTGTTTCCCTTACAGTTTTTAGCTTATTTAGGCATTTTCCCAAGAAAATTATAATCATAACGTGTATATAAATTTGTATTCTGCTTTTCTACATAATAGACACTGAATTCGAGCTTGGGTTTTTCTGGGAGATACTCATCTAACATTTTATTTTTTTACATTTATAGTACTGTAAATGTATTTTTTCTTCCTTAAGATTTTCTTAACATTTTCTTTTCTTTAGCTTACTTAATTGTAAGAATACAGTACACAATACATGTAACACCCAAATTTTGTTTATTAACTGTTTATGTTATCGGTAAGGCTTTTGGTCAACAGTAGACTATTAGTAAACTTTTGGGGAAGTCAAAAGTTATACACAGCCCTGGCTGGTTTTCTCAGTGGACAGCCCTCAGACCAAAGGGCACGGTTCGATTCCTGGTCAAGGGCACGTACCTCAGTTGCAGATTTGATAGGAGTAAGACAACTGAAAAATGACTCCCTTTCTGTGGAGCTGCATGGAAACCTTAGGACTCAGCACCCATGGCTTTGACCAATTTACTTTGCAAGAAAGTCAAATGGTATCCGTTACACCTTGAGGCACGACATGAGATTCCCCCATTTGTATTCCATAGAATCCCTCTGCAGGGTTACTGTTACTCAGCTTAGCTGATTGCTGAGATTCGTCCCCCCTGACCCTTGTCTGAGGGTCACACTGCACCCTGACCCTGCCTGCCAGTCCCCTTATCTCTGTGCTGGCCTCTTCCTTGCAGAGCGCCAGTGGAACATGTGGATCCCAGGATTTGGCTCTGAAGAAATCCGACCCTACAAAAAAGCTTGCACCACAGAGGCTCACAAACAGGTGAGGAGTCCTCAGAGCCCCAGGGCAGCCACAGCTGATCCCTTGAGCTACCATTGCAGGTCACAGCTACCACCACTGCAGTTATGCTCCCTCGCAGCAGCAGAGCTCCATGGGAGATCAGTCAGATATTTCCTTAATGATTGGCTGTTCCCACACGGGGGTGGAGGGGGAGTGTCTCTGGTTTGTCTCTCAACTCTGATGGGCATTGCTTAAAGCTGTTGAATGTAGGTTGTTTAATATGGATGGAACTTGAACCTGCCCATCTCCTTAATGAAGTCGTCCTTCACTGTTGGCATTGCTTAAAGCTGTTTAATGTAGGTTGTTTAATATGGATGGAACATTATGGATGTAACTTGAACCTGCCCATCTCCTTAATGGTGATGTGAACATACATATGGTCCTGTGACTGAGGACAGGTTAAGGAAAGCAGAAATACATGTACTTGTGGTGAGAGGTAGCACCCAGACTGCTCTGCCAGGTATTTTGATCTCTGTCCTAGCTTAACCTTTGTTCTCTGCCTCTCTTACCATGGAACTGAGGAGTCAGTGTAAGAACCTAACACCACTTCTGCTGTGGAGCAAGTTGTCCCTGTCGTTGGTCAGTCTCGTGGCAGTGGTGGCCTCCCCTGACAAGGCTGTCATTCCTGTCTTAATGTAACTGGCTACTCGGAATTGAAAAGTGAGCTTGCCCTGGCCAGTTTGGCTCAGTGGATAGAGCATCAGCCTCGGGACTGAAGGGTCCCGGGTTCGATTTGGTCAAGGGCACATGCCAGGTTGTGGGCCTGATCCCCAGTAGGGGGTATGCAGGAGGCAGGCGATCAATGATTCTCATCACTGATGTTTCTATCTCCCTCTCCCTTCCTCTCTGAAATCAATAAAAATATATTTTTTTAAAAGGACAGTGAGCTTAATCTAAGCTTGACAGGCATAACTGGGAGCCTCTGTCCCTTGCTTTTCCATAGAGTGGATCTCTGGAGCGGGTATGTTTCCGGAGCTCACAGAGGAAGCCCTGCAAGGAAGCTGTCAATAGTGTGAATTGAAGGACCACAGTGTTCTTCAGAAATGAGTCCCTCCAGATAACAGATGGTCATTTGGTCTCTGTTCCCAAATTATCCACTTTTTAGAATATATATATATATTTATTTATTTATTTATTTATTTACCAACAAATATAATGTTTGGACAATCTCTTGGTCAAAAAGAGTGAGCAAAGCAAATCAGTAATTTGGCCATGGCTGGTAGTAGTAAAATTCGAAGTCCATGATCTGACTATTTCCCTGATGGGTTGTGGTAGAAGTTGTTGGTGTCAGTTTCCTTCATTGCAGGTCATCAAGTGTGAAATGGCAGCAGGCTTGAAACAAAGGCCCCTTTCCTATTTTCTCCATCATCAGAGAAGAGTTTGGGTGTGGGTGGGAAGCCTAGAAATCACCTGCTTTGATGGCTTTTCCCCTTAAGTCCCCAAAAGGCAGGAGCTGTCACCTTTTAACCTTTTTGCCATCCTGCTAGCCTAGAGCAGTCTGTGTCTTTGGTGCATGGAATGGATCACTGGCCTGTCTGAACATCTCTGGGGCCCTGCAGATTGTCCTCAGGTTAGGTGGAGCTGCTGATGAGCTGCCCTATGCCTGTAGGTTCCTGCAGGCTCCAGGCTGTGCTGTAGGTCATGCTGCCTGCTAGCCACGCACTGACATCCCAGAAAGTTCCTCACTCTAACCTGTGCTTTGCTTATTTCTCTCTCCTTTTAGAGAATGGCATTGATCCGGAAAACAACCAAGAAATAACACATGGAAAGATCAGGGAATGGACAACATTGTATTTGGAGATACTTGAGCTGAGACCTCAGCCATCTCATCTTTGGATTTTTTTTTTAATGCTTTACAGAGAAGCATATATTTTTTATTAACAGTGCAGCAATATCTATAATGACTGAGAGGATCTGCCAAAAGAATAAAGCCTCCTGCCCCCACTTTGGCCCCTTTTCCCTGCCGTCTCAAAGAGGAGCAATTTATCTTCCAGAGAAGATTTTATTTGTGGTTTATTATATAAGTGATTGAATATGGGACAAAGCAGTATGGTCTTGTTTGGTGAGACAGTATTAGCAGGATTGGTAGAGGTTTTTGTTTCCTTCTCCCTTCCTCTTCCCCTGTACTTTGTAATGTCAGTGTTTATATGAATATGACTTTCATTTGCTTTTCCAGAATAAAGAAGTTATAATTGAAAGACACAGGATGCATGGCTTACAGCCTTTGAAATCCAAGAGGGAGTTAGGAGCAGCAGCAAGGCTGATGCAGCTTCCCAGTCAGCAGGTGGCAGCAATGTTATCCATTTCTGTGGTTAAGAAAAAACCATGGGGTTTTCATTACTGTACTCGAAGGAAGGCTACACCATTAGCAGAAACTGAGTTCAGTTTCTCTGCCATAGAATTGGGTCGGGTGACTTCTCTCCTGAACCCCAAACTGAAGAGGCATCCTGGTTTTGGCAAAGCCTGCTCTTCTGGAATTCCTAGAGAAAGTTGTGCTCATCCTGAGCCCGAAGAAGGGATGGGGAAAGGCCTGTCTGTGCTGGGGCCTGTCTGCACTTAGTTGCCGGTGTCCCTGGTCCTGGTATATTCACCATTGTGTAGAGGAAACAGCTCACTTAGCATCGTCTTGTCCTGTGCCCAGCATAGCCCTTTGTGGGTCATGAAGGTTTCATGGGCTTCGGGGGGTGTGGCTGTTCCACCCAGGGACACCAGCACAGGCACTTCCCCCTTGCCCTGCTTTGGTTCTGTCTCCTGAGGTTGGCCTGCAGTGGGACCCTGCTTTTCACTCCCATTCAGTTTGGCCCCATGACCCCTCTCCGCATCCTCATAGATCTTTTGAGTGAGCAGCTCAAAGGCTGTGCTGATGGTACTGTTGCTCTTGGCTGAAGTCTCGACATAGTGAGCACCCAAAGAAGAGGCAGCCAGCTTCTCCCCTTCTTCTGGCACCACCTGTCACTCAGCCACCAGGTCACTCTTGTGCCCTACCACCAGGAAGAGGATGCCGAAGGGTTTCACTTTCTCCAGAATCTCCTGATGCCATGTTTTGTTGGTGATACCAAACAGCAAAAGGCCTCCCACCAAGTTTTGATAGTAGGAGCCAGTCACTGACCTCGGTAGCCAAGAAGGATTCCAGAATTAGTTTTGAATCCTCCATTGAGGACAGAAGGGGATGGGGAATTCGGGCCGTTTAATGGAAAGAGCTGGGGTAGAGCCAAGAGACCTCAATTCTTGATCAGCTGTGTGACAGGTAAGTAAGTAGTTTCACCTGAGTCCTGTCCTATCTGCATATGAAAGGACTTGTTTGTTCAATAAGCATTTGTGAGCTGGGCCTGGGCCTGGCAGTGGGTTACCGTGATGAGTAAAATAAAAACACGGAGTAATCCTGTGATTGGATATATATAAAACTGTCACTGTGACAGGCTGCAACGGAGAAGTTCACAGGGCCAGGGGGAGGGCGTCTGACCAGTTGAGCCGTAATCTTTTTTTAATCCTCACCTGAGGATATTTTTCCATTGATTTTTAGGGAGAGTGAAAGACTGAGGCAAAGACAGAGAAAAACACTGATGTGAAAGAAACACATCAATTGGTTGCCTCCTGCAGCACCTGCCTGCAACTGAAGTATGTGCCCTTGACTGGAATTGAACGGGGCGGGGGGGCGTGAAGAGGCGGCTAGGGCTTGAGCTATAATTTGAGGGACCTGAGTGAAGGGATCTCTCTCGTGGAGAGAGAACTGTGTGTATGCCAGCCCTGAGGCATGTGGTGGGCCAGGTCATGGTGTGCCTTGTCAGCCCCAGCAAAGGGGGTCTTTACCCCAAAACTAACAGGAACCATTGAAGGAATTTAAGCAGGAGCGTGACATGGTCAGCTTTGCATTTTGAAAAGATCACTGGCCAGGCAGTAGAGAACAGACTGGAGGAAGAAGAGAGAGAAACTGTAAAAGCAGAAACTCATCAGAAGGCTGCTGCCTGGATTGGAGTGGAGGTAGGTAGTAAGGTGGAAGAGGGATACATTTGGAAAGTTGTTTGAAGTGGTGCCCTCACATGCCTTGGTGACTGGATGTGAGGGTATAGGAGAGGGTGTCACCCAGTGAGCTGCAAGGGATTCTCTGACTTGGTGTGTCCATCTCTGGTGCAGTTCCACCCCCACCCTGGGCATGAGGCCCTCTACCCCTAAGCTAAGTAACTTCACAGGGTCTCTGCAGGGTTGATAATAAGCAACTAGCAAAAGAAGTAGCTCACAGTGTGTAAGCCCCTCCGTGTGGTAGGGTTCATATAATAATCATTTAATCCTTACCACAATACTGTGAGATAAAAGCTATTATTATCCCCACTTTACAGATGGGAAACCTGACATTTCTGGGGAGAGGCAGCTGGGACAATGGGCATTGTCTCTGCCTTGGAGGTGGACCCTGCCCTGGATGGGACCCGCTTCCTTCTGGTTCTTCAATACTTGGCCAGGATTTTGAGAGGGAATGGACAGTTTTTCCTTCCTCTCCTCCAGGGATGTGGGACTTTGTTTTGAGCACCTGACAGTCAAATCTCCACCTCCATCCCCAGGATTAGCTGCTTAGCTCCCAAGCAAGCTCCAGTTCAGACCTGTATCTTGGGTGGGGAAGCTCCTGGAGATGAACCACACACCAAGTTAAGGGCATTTCCTGCTTCTTCACGTCATTCTAGCCGCTAGATCTCCAATAGATTCCTAGAAAAAGCCCAGCTCGTACTTGCCTCCGGGCTCTCCCTTGTACTTGCTGGCTGCTGCTTTTTTTATTTTTTATTGATTGATTGATTTTTTTTACAGAGGAAGGGAGAGGGATAGATAGAAACATCGATGAGAGAAAAATATTAATTGGCCCTACTGAGTATCAGGCCCGCAACTAGGCATGTGCCCTGA